ATTTGGCGTGAAACGCCCGAGAAGGTCGCAGTGGAAGTCACCAAAATCAATAAAAAACGGAAATTTTTCGAAACAGCTAGCCCCAAGTGGGTCAATCCACGCCATGCGGGAATCGAACTCGACTCACATTTGGCGTGAAACGCCCGAGAATGTCGCAGTGGGCCAAAATTCACTAAAAAAAAACGGAAATTTTCGAAACAGCTAGCCCCAAGTGGGTCAATCTACGCCACACAGGTTTCGAACTCGAGTAATATTACTTATAAAAAAATACACGAAGTAGTACAAAATGGGCAGCTTACCTCTAATTTTCGCCTTATTTCGAAGTTGTGTTTCAGAAGCTGTGAAGAGCTCCACTAATTTTCTCCTCATGTGCTCTATTTAGAAAAATTTCTGATCCTCAACACGAGAAGTATAACACAGAAATATTCTACAACCACAAAAACTTCTGCAGGTATGAGGAATTGAACCCCAGCCCTCTCCCATGCTAAGGGAGCGCTCTATAACTGAGCTATACACCCGCGCCCAAGATGTTGCGGTAGTTTTCTTACATATAAAGTTAGCGATGTGTGCACAACAACACTAGTTATCGAATCCATGGAGTAAAGCAAAACAGGCAGCCTATTTCTCATCTTCGCCTTATCTACACCTAATTCACATGGTATTCAAAATGTTGGACAGCATTTCTTCTATATGTTCAGATGAACAGGAAATGTCGATGTTTCCTGATAGGTGATACATAGTGCAGAAATATTCGACGGTCACAAAAACTCCTGGAGATATGGGGAGTTGAATCCCAGCCCTCTACCTGGTCTCTCTGGCACTGAGCTACACCTCCACTGTGCGGAGTGTTGTGGTGGTTTTCACACAAATAAAGCTTGTGACATCTGTTAACAGTGATTTCACTCGTTGAGATAAACACGAATAGAGCAAAATGGGCAGCTTACCACTTATCTTTAGCTTATTTCGATACTGTAGTGTAGGAAGACGGAAATATTTCATCGATTTTCACCCCATGTGCTCCGTTGTGTAAAAAATGTCAATACCCTAATACTTGAAGTATAGTACGGAAATATTCGGGGACCACAATATCTCTAGGAGGTTTGGAGACTTGAACCCCAGCCCTCTCCCATTCTAAGGGATTGCTCTACCAGTGAGCCATACGCCCACTGGAGGAGTGTCGCGATGGTTTTCCAGTGAACGAAGCTTGTGACATGCGTTCACATTGACGTCGCACTATACGAATAGATGAAAATATATTTCAACTCGTCTCGACGCGAATCCACAAGGCTCATTTGTTGTTCCATCCTATTCGATTTTTAGCTCGGAACAATCGAGGTCGGGTTGGCATGTTGGCGGGTCGCCAAGAGCCGCTTTCGTCATTGGAGGAAAACAATGACCCAGGTCATTACGATTAGTTCTCTAATACAGTGCAACGAATCGAATTGGAAATACAGCCTTAGTTCAGTTCAGTTCTCTATCATAGATCAAAAATTGCCGTTTGTAATTATCAGCATAAAAAGAGAGCTAGATCAAACGATACGCCACTGCATTTAGCAAGTTGGCGTTCATTTCAAAAGCTATTGATAGATTTTAGAGTTGAAGAGGTTTGGTTTATTACCAAGGCTAGTGGCCTCTCACACTTCTAACATCACTATTTCAAGGCGCGTGTTTGTCTGCAGTCGCTTTCATATCATTAGTCAAACAATGTCGATTATTCCTAAAGGATGTTGCCTTTGTAAAACCAAAGTGAAACCTCTACTATCGTTCTTAAGAGAAATCCCAGAAAGAATTTTTCGAAGCGCTTCACAACAGAATTTGAAACGTTGTCAAAGGAATAACTACCACAGCTTAAGTTCTCATATGTCAGTAGAACATTTTTATCGGGCATCAAGGAAATATGGATTTAAATCCCCACCTACGCAAATTTCTATGAGGTAAGAATGAAAAGTGCGACCACCCCATTTTCACTCAACTAATGTACTGCTTATGATACATCGACTCGATTTTTCATTTTTCCTATTGAATTTCACTTATTGACAAAGAAGAAAATGACATGATATAGCGTTTTGTCAAACATTTTACTAATGATACAATCACAATAACAAATGTAATCCGGTTTTTGTTCGAATGATTGCAACCAAGTGATAATGCTAGTCTCGTCTTAAGCTGTCTCATCGCTATGAAATTCTTACAAAGCTCATAGCAGTTAGTGAGGCATTATCCTTAACTCTTCAATAAGCGATACCTTTTTTTCACGGACTAATATTAACGAAGGAAAACAACATCTTTATTGAGACGATTTCTTAACGAACGTATGAAAAGACAACTGTGGCCCTAAAGAGGGCCGTTGGTTTAGATTTTGGCTCGACTGCTTGAGACTTCTACTCCTTCTCTCCACCGGTCTTCTTGGGCAGTAGAACAGCCTGGATGTTGGGTAGAACCCCTCCTTGAGCAATAGTTACTCCTGAGAGTAGCTTATTGAGCTCCTCGTCGTTACGCACGGCAAGCTGTAGATGACGCGGGTTGATTCTGGTCTTCTTGTTGTCACGAGCTGCATTCCCAGCTAACTCGAGCACTTCAGCAGCCAGATATTCAAGAACAGCAGCTAGATAGACGGGCGCTCCAGCACCAACTCTGCCAGCGTAGTTGCCTTTGCGAAGCATTCGGTGAATTCGTCCAACTGGAAACTGGAGACCAGCACGCGATGATCTTGACTTCGTCTTGCCTCCAGCCTTGGCTTTGCCTCCTTTACCACGTCCAGACATGACAGCGACCACGAGCGACGATGTACGCGATGAACACACACGGATACATCTACGTCCAGCAGGACAGTACCTATAGGCAACCTGCTCCGACGCTCCGCCCACCACTGACCGAGAGTGACTGAGCTTGGAGGCGGGGCTTTATCGCCGCAGCGCTGTGAATTGATTCGAAAACGAGCCGTCGAGCATTCGCAGCTTCTACGAGTGTTCGCTATGCCACGGAAGCCGTCAGCTAAGGAGCCAAGAAGGCAGCTAAGAGCCAGAAGGCTAGTCGTGCTGGAGACAAGAAGAAGAAGCATCGCCGAAAGGAGACCTATTCGGTCTACATCTATCGTGTGCTCAAGCAGGTCCATCCCGATACCGGCGTGTCGTCGAAAGCGATGTCGATCATGAACTCGTTCGTTAACGACGTCTTTGAGCGCATTGCTGCTGAGGCATCACGTCTGGCGCACTACAACAAGCGATCGACGATCTCATCTCGTGAAATCCAGACCGCTGTGAGACTGATCCTGCCAGGTGAACTCGCGAAACACGCCGTTTCCGAGGGAACCAAGGCGGTGACCAAGTACACCTCCAGCAAGTAGATCTCGTACGAGGTACACTTCAATTAAGCCAACGGCCCTCTTTAGGGCCACAAATAATACCATTTGATTGTGTGATTTTCATATCAGCTTAATAAAATGTTTCTGTCCTCGTGTTTAGTATCGTTCTAGTATTAGTTATCTGGTTGTTATCACACTCGAACGTTTCAGTTCTTCGATGGATTAGGGGATGGTGGGTTACCTGATGAGTACAAGATGAAATCCCTAAGTACTTTTTGCGGGGCAAGGAGTGTTTCTATTTCGAAAGTGAGTGAGTCGTTTTAGTAAGGATAGGACGGCATACTTGTCTGGCCCCATATTAAATTCTTACTGTATGGATGATCTGAGACGATCGTCAACGCGACCCGCAGCATCGACCTTTACGACGCCAAGCAATCGTGCGGGTCCGAATTTAGGCGCGAAGCCAGCAGAGTCGATAGTGGAAGTGTTGGTTGAAGTGAGCTAACGAAGCCATCTAACCCTGGGCAATGGGGCTTTCATCGGCTGAGGACGGGAGTAGTGAGCGTAGGTGGTTGTGGTACGGGTAGGATTGCGAATGCTCAGTGTCAACCAAAACCAATGAATAGTTGGTATTGCAAGACATAATCAGATAGAGATGTTCTCGCCGTAACGTTACGCGTTTGTCTTTGTGTTGATTAGAGTAAACCACATGGCACTATATCTATAATGTACTCTAGCGTCCACATCTTGGCGCGAAACTATCGGCGTTAGGTCGTCGTCGTTTGGCAGCTCTCCAAGTGCCGTGCTCGTCACTGGAAAATATAGGCTTAGGCCACTATAGTGAGTTTCGTGACATAATGGAGTAAATGAAAGTGAACATAAAGCCAAAGTCTAGTCTCCAGCATAGATCAGAGATTGCCGTTGACAAAGAAAATTAGAAAAAAAGAGGTAGATCAAAAGGCATACCATTGCAATTAATGAGTATGCATTTGTTTCAGAAGTAGCTTGTAGCTTTTGACGCATACATATCCTCGATGTCAACTATTGCAATTGAAGAGGATAGGTTTTTGCCAGGCTCGTGATTTCGCTTATTCTCCAAATATGTGGCTATTTCACGTGCTCGTGCTTGCTTTTGGGTCGCTATCGTAGCGATGGTCAATCATTGGCGATTATTCGAAACTATGATGACTTCGAAGTGAGCAAAAAAATCTTCTGCCAGCGTTCCTGACAACTTTTCCAATAAAACTCTTTCGAAACGTTTCTAAATAGAAAAGAAAAACTGGGAACACACTCAAGAGGCCTCTGCCATAGCTCAAGTTTCCATATATGTTATTGGAAGAATTTGATCAACACCAACAGGTAAATTTGTTCGAATTTCCAGCTATTTAATTTTATACTAAACTATAATTTTCTAAGGATCTAGATCAAAAATGTATAGTAAAGGACCATTTCAAATAATCAAACAGATCAAATAAAGCATGCTAACAATACTGAATGCATGTTGACCTAAACTCACGGTAACAAACGCACTTGGATGTTCTTTTCTTTCAATTCTCTATAGACGAAATTTATATGTCGCTCTAAAAGTTCACAATGATCTTGAAGGTATTAAATTTTCTAGTGTTTTCACTGCATTTTTCGCAGTGTTATGATGATTTATTCATATCTAAGAGAACTGAGTGGTGAGCAAAAATACAACCTCAGTTGGGAGTCGAACCCGCGTTTCTCCCATACCGAGGACGCGTGCTACCACTACACTATCGAGGTACATTCGCGCCACCATTCAATCTCTTAAGGTTCTTTCAATTTTCCTGAAGACTTTCTCAAAAACTTTGATGGTCACAACTGATGCGATGAAAAATTTGCTAGTCTAGTGGGGAAGAAAAGCTGCAAATGACCGACTGACTGGCTGTTGAGGTTTCAGAGCTTTGCCTTTCCGAATAATCTGCTTTTAAGATTTGAAGCAGGAATGTGCTCAAAAAACAAATAGTTTCATGAAATTTTGTTCTCATCGTCAAACAAGGACATGTACAGCACATTTTGTTCATAATCATCGATCTTTTATCCTTTATGAATGCTGCGTTGTGTTCACCCAACTATTCAAGCTCGTTATAATCCTCGACGAGACGCAACGTAATGTGGTGGGTAAGTGGCGTTGCATGGGGTCGCAGCGTGCGTGCCTCACCGAATACTATATAACTGTGATCGCGGTGGTGTTCGGCATCTCGCGTCTTAGTGTCGCAGCTGTTCTCTTGTCGTCATGTCTGGTCGTGGAAAAGGAGGCAAAGGACTCGGAAAAGGAGGAGCGAAGCGCCATCGCAAAGTCCTGAGAGACAACATCCAGGGCATCACCAAGCCGGCGATTCGTCGCCTGGCTCGTCGTGGTGGTGTGAAGCGCATCTCTGGACTGATCTACGAGGAGACTCGTGGAGTGCTCAAAGTGTTCCTCGAGAATGTGATTCGTGACGCTGTCACATACTGTGAGCATGCCAAGAGAAAGACCGTCACCGCCATGGACGTCGTCTACGCCCTCAAGCGCCAAGGACGTACCTTGTACGGTTTCGGTGGATAAGACGGACCAGTGAACAATTTCGTCGAAACAAAACTTAACCAAACGGCCCTCTTTAGGGCCACAAATAATACCATTTGATTGTGTGATTTTCATATCAGCTTAATAAAATGTTTCTGTTCTCGTATTTTAGTATCGTTCTAGTGTATTGGTTATTTGGTTGTTATCACATTCGAAGGTTTCAGTTCTTCGATGGATTAGGGGATGGTGGGTTACCTGATGAGTGCAAGATGAAATCCCTAAGCACTTTTTGCGGGGCAAGGAGTGTTTCTATTTCGAAAGTGAGTGAGTCGTTCAGTAAGGATGGGACGGCATACTTGTCTGGCCCCACATTAAATTCCTACTGTATGACCGACCTGAGAACGTCGTCAATGCGACCTGCAACATCGACCTTTACGACGCCAAGCAATCGTGCGGGTCCTAATTTAGGCGCGAAGCCAACAGAGTCGATAGTGGAAGTGTTGGTTGAAGTGAGCTAACGAAGCCGTCTAACCTTGGGGCAATGGGGCTTGCATCGAGTGAGGACGGGAGTAGTGAGCGCAGGTGCTAGTGGTATGGGTAGGATTGCGAATGCTCAGTGTCAACCAAAACCAATGAATAGTTAGTATTGCAAGACATAATCAGATAGAGATGTTCTCGCCGTAACGTTAGGCGTTTGTCTTTGAATTGATTACAGTAAGCCACGTGGCACTATATCTATAATGTCCTCTAGCGTCCAGATCTTGGCGCGAAACTATCGGAGTTAGGTCGTCGTCGTTTGGTAGGTCTCCAAGTGCCGCGCTCGTTACTAGAAAGTATAGGCTTAGGCCACTATAATGAGTTTCGTGACATAATGGAGTAAATAAAAGTGAACATAAAGCCAAAGTCTAGTCTCCAGTATAGATCAGAGATTGCCTTTGACCAAGAAAAATAGAAAAAAAAGGAGGTAGATCAAAAGGCATACCATTGCAATTAATGAGTATGCATTTGTTTCAGGAATAGCTTATAGCTTTTGACGCATACATATCCTCGATGTCAACTATTGCAATTGAAGAGGATAGGTTTTTGCCAAGTCTTGTGATTTCGCTTGTTCTCCAAATATGTGGCTATTTCACGTGGTCGTGCTTGCTTTTGGGTCTCTATCGTAGCGATGGTCAATCACTGGCGATCATTCGAAGGTATGATGACTTCGAAGTGAGCAAAAAAATCTTCTGCCAGCGTTCCTGACAACTTTTCCAATAAAACTCTTTCGAAACGTTTCGAAAATAGAAAAGAAGAAAAACTTGGGAACACGCTCAAAGAGGCCTCCGCCATAGCTCAAGTTTCCATATATGTTAATGGAAGAATTTGATCAACACCAACAGGTAAAATTTGTTCGAATTTCCAGATATTCAATGTTTATACTAAACTATAATGTTCTATGGATCTAGATCAAAAATGTATAGTAAAGGACCATTTCAAATAATCAAACAGATCAAATAAAAGCATGCTAACAATACTGAATGCATGCTGACCTAAACTCACGGTAACAAACGCACTTGGATGTTCTTTTCTTTCAATTCTCTATAGACGAAATTTATATGTCGCTCTAAAAGTTCACAATGATCTTGAAGATATTGAAACTTTCTAGTGTTTTCACGACATTTTTCGCAGTGTTATGATGTTCTATTCATACCTAAAAAAACTGAGTAGTGAGCAAAAATATAAAAACCCGCCTTTCACCCATACCGGGGATGCGTGCTACCATTACTCTATCGAGGTACATTCGCGCCACCACTCATTCCCTTAAGATTCTCTCAATTCTCTTAAAGACTTTCTCAAAAACTTTAATGGTCACAACTGATTCGATGAAAAATTCGCTTTCAAATGGAATGAAAAAGTTCTAAGACGGAATTTGACGGCTACTAGTAGACCACAAAGTTCTCCGGATGAGCGGTTCAGATTGTCGTATGTACGTTAGATGCTCTGTGATGAAGTGGTGATGCAGAAAAGGCATCGCTGTAAATGTTGCAGCAACAGCCTTTATTTTAAGATGAAACAACATTAGTACATCAAATCATTCAAAATGGTAATTTTTCCGCCTACATCTTTTCTTATTTCGCTATCTCTTGTACACTGCTCTTCGTGCTCAATGTTTTTCTTCCATTAATTACAGCGGTTTCATTCTTTGAAACCATAATTCATCGTTTAAAAGAGTTCTTTATTGATTTATTTATCTATTTATTTATATTTATAATAGATGTGCATATAGCTACATATATGTATCCAAAATTATATATTTTCCAGAACACCTAAAATTCAAAAGAGTAAAACGCCTGCTTCTGTCGCGTTCTCGGTCAACCGGCTGCGCTTGAATGTGGGCTGCTGCAAAATTGGAAGCTAAAGAGCATAAATCGTTGTTGTTCAATCCCTTGAAGGCACACCATGCATTCGAATCCACTGAGCATAGTAGAGGCGAACAGAATGCTGAGCAGACATATACGGTGATCTAACGTGGGCGTTGATTTTACGATTATACATCTTACAATTATTTTGTGAGACTGTTCGTGTAGCGGACATTTTGTGACTGAAACGATTTTGTAACACAAATTTAGGGTTTTGTGATATTTTTTGCCATTCTATTCACAGAATTTTCCGTATTCCCGAATGATCTGTATATAACGGAAAATGAGGTTTGCCTTTTTGAAGTTTCATGTGCGAGTGCAGTAGTAAGGAATCGTTTGCCAAGGAACACCGGTGGCATGAGTTTATAGTTTGCACAGATTTTATTACTGCTATCAATAGTTTCATATCGTTATTTTCTTTATTTGCCTTACAGAAAAGGTTATTTAACTAACTTGTTGTAGTTCTTGTGAATGACTGCTACTTTTTTTATGAGTAAAAACCGTAATAAAGCGAACATATTGCTAGCCGATGTTACCGCTGTATGGAAATTCTATGTGAGATCAGACCACCGTCTCTTTCTTACAAGACTCCATGTTGTGCGAATTCGGAAGAGAGTTACTATGTTCAAAAACGGAATGCCAAATCTACAATAAAGTGGGATTTTCTTAAATCGTTAATAGGCTCTCGGGAAGACGCCGTTATTAACAACATCGACGAATGGTACAAATGGATGATGCAGTGTCCTCACGCCAATTCTATGAAAGTCAAGAGTTCGTGAACCAGCAAGAGATTTCCTTCCCGACAAATTTCAGCTTAATTCTGCAATGTGAGGCCGATCATTACAAAGGCAGCCACAAACAGCATAGCCGATTGAAAGTATTGTTACATATGCTCTGTAACAGAGTAAGGCATGCAATCGGGAATGACTTACTCTGAAAGAACACCACGGTGATTCTTAGATTGTACTTCAAGTGTGAAAAGTGCGGCGATTATTCGACCATATAGGGGTATAACCAAGTGGAACTGACTGAGTAAAGAGACACCGTGTACTGATGATTCTACAAGGCCGATCGTGTGTCTCACCCTATACAGGTGCCATAACAGATCTCATGAAAGGCCTAAAGTATGCTGTTAGGACATACTGGCTCTGAGCGAGCTCTCAAAATAGTCGATTGATGGTAACATTTCTATCTATAGTAGGATTGCCGAATCCTTGAAACTACAGACGAGCTCTCCATGTTCAATTTATGAAAAGTGAATATCATGTGAATCTCTTAACACTGCTAAACTGAATAGCAGACAGACTCGACTGGATGGAGTTTTGGATTCAATAACGAACAAGCGCAAAGAGCCTGCGAGGGTACGTAGGATGTACAGTCTTCATTTTATTGCTTTCTATAGGTACATATACATACAATCTATTATTTCACCATCTATTACACATAATCATAGATGTACAATAACTACAAGAATTACACCAGAGATTTTCAAACTATATTTAGACTAACGGATAGTGGGGCTCCCATAGGAGGTTTGCTAAATTGACTATTCAGAGCTTCTATAAGTGCTTCTGTTTTGACTAAATCAAGGATCTCTGATAATGATATAACATAATTGAGCCGCTATTGTCTATGTGCTAGACAGGCACCTGCTTCGCCCTGCTTGGTCCCCTTAATAGCACAGTCCCTCGTTTAGCCGATCCCTTTAGGTTATTACTCTTCTATAAAGGAATCGACGCCGAGTTAAACCACCGCAAGTCAGGTGATAGAATCTCCTGGCAGTGCAGAGACTAGCAGCCGAGTTACTCGCTGTTAAAATAAATCATACCTTTCAA